TTTCAACTGTTAGATATAGTTCTTAATTGTGGAATATGTTAACCTTGTTAAAAGGATTTTTTTTAAGTTTCTGAGAAAAATGAATTATTAAGGAGTGTGCATGTGTTCATATATATGAATGAAAGTACTAGTCCTGTTTGCTACAGTTGAAAATAGAGCAGTTTTCATCTATTGGAAACGTTTTAAGTATTCTGTTAAAGATCTATGTTTAATTGTTTATCCATCAGACCAGTTGATGGATTGGTCTTGCAAATGTTTTTTATATAGCTTCAAGAATATATATTTTGGGTTAATCGTTTGAAATATGATTATATTTCTTTCCTAGAAGTGTACCGGTGAGGAGGGATATGTCCGTTTGTTGCCTACAGGCGAGCACTTCAAATTACAAACCAACAAAAATGTTTATCAACAAAATTTTTGTGGTATTTGCTTGAGTGATTAGAGTTTAGGAATGGCTATATTGGGTTAGATAAAGGCTCCATCTCGCTTAGTCTATCTCCAGCTGTAGACACAGAGATGCATAAGAAGAATAAAACAGGACAAGTGCGTATGATACTCTTTCGCTCTCCAGCTCTTTTCAGCTCGGGGCATTTTCTGATTTGGATGTAGTTTCTGTGTATTTAGTCAATATCAATGTATTTTCCTTCCATGTACTTGTGCAGTCTTCTTTTGATCCTATTGAACTTTTAGTCACCACAACATCCTTTGGCGGTAGATTCCACTGATCTGTATGTAATGCACAGTGTAAAGAACCGCCTGCATTTCTTTGTTTTGAAGCTTGCTGCTACTAGCTGCTGCTTGTAGAAAAGGCTTTTGGACAGGCCTGGTTGGGTAAATAAGAAGCTCCTGAAGTATTAGGTCTGAACAAGGATATTCAGAATGAGTAGGGAGTCAGCAACAAATGGAAGAAAATGACTGATCAATGAGTTGACATTGGAAAATTCAAGTCAATTCAGAATTTTTAAAGAACTTCTCCACTTATCTGATGATGCCATATGATTAGAGACATACCTTATTTTCAAGAAAGAAAATAGGAGGATCAAGTAGCATAAAAGACTTTTCAATGCGTTTGAAGACTGAGATAACTATACATGCATATGTAGCTGAAATGAAATAAAACGGGACATAGAATTCCTAAAGATTGTTTTGCTAGACTAATCTCAGTGTTGGTTATGGTCTAATGCATGTTGTGGCCTTGTGTCAAAATTACTTCCTAGACAAAGGAAGTGTAGTAATTTGCATGAGTTTTCTCAGAGCATTTGGCACTGTCATACAACTGATCATTAGTTAGAAATCATTAAAAAACCACACTGTAAAATAGATTGAAAAACCCTGACCTGACTCAAATGGGACAACAATAGGTCACGATATAAACCTTGAGGGAGATTATTAGTTTCTGAAGGGAGGGGTTTAAGACCAGCACTGTTTAATGTCTTCATTTAATGATCCTTGTGCACTCAGTAAGAATGTGTTAATGAAACTTGTTGATGATATAAAATTGGTGCTATAGAGGACAGTTGTGCTGTAGCTACAGGAAATGTAATATGTTACTCCACACAGAATTAGAATTCAGATGAGGTTTGAAGCACCATTTCAGGAAAGAATATAGGACTTGCATTTTATCTAGAGTACTTATGGAAGTGTTTACAGATTCCATTAAGGAAGTAGGTGAAACAATAATGAGCTAGGAAATTTCCACGTCAGACATAGTATTTCAATAAAATGTGATTTCTTATTTGTCTCCTTGTAATGGTTGTTTTTCATCGTAGCTATTTGTGATAGTGTTTAGTGCTTCTAGGGTTTTTTCCTGCTTCAGTATTGAGTGTACAGTGACCAAAAGCATTAAAAGTAGATTATGTCTCTCAGTTACTAAACATTTATAGCCATAGGAAATGATGGTCAATTAAGTACAGCTTAGAATAGGTATGAAATTATTGACTTTGTTGATCTTCCCTTACAGTCCTTCCTTAGGAAAGTGCTGAAATGTGTTTTCTAGTTATTTAGTTGCATTAGTGGTTGAGTTTGAGGCTTTTAACGTGTTTTTTCCCCTAATACCTTTGGGAGACGGATAACTAAGATGTTGATATAATAATGCAATATGCATACTGAGTGTAATTGTTTGAGAGAGAACATACACTGTGGGGAAATATTGAATGGATCATGAAAGATGATGACCATTAGTCTTTTCTTTCAACTATTAAAATTAGCTTTAGGGTGTGCTCAGCTGTGATTTATGAAATTGTTTAGACTAACACCTTCTTTGATGATGTCTGATGTAGAGAAAAATGCTTAAAAGTATCATGATAAATGCACTTTCTTTTCACTTTTGGCAACTTCCATCTTCACCATTTAAATTTTCAAGTATTTTAGTGAACTTGCTTAAAGAGCCGAGCAACAGATGGACAGTGTCATAAATGGAAAAAATTATTTTGCTTTTCTTGAGTGTTTACACATTTAAGCTAACAGAATATTTTCAGTTATCATCATATGAATCTAAATACTTAGAACTTGATATTACATTTAAAAAACTCTCATGAGGATTAGTTGCATATGCTATTTTGTTTAGAATATTAGCAGCTAAAAGGCTTTTTTTTTTTTTTTTAAATAAGAATAAATGCTTCTTAAAGCTATTTCAGACAGCTTACAGACTAACTTGAAGTCATCTAATAGTGGCCGTAAGAAGGCAATAGGGGAGAACTGGGAGAAGGAAGGTGGGAGAAATGTTAGTAAGATATATGTAGCAATAAGGACCAATGATGCTACTTGATGTAGCCTCAAAAAAGACCCCTAAAACCCCACACCCCAAAACCCCATATGTGATAATATGTAAATGGAACTTAGCTGACACTTAGAATGTTGCTTCCCTATTAATGCATATAAACTAGTTATATAAAAAGTAATGAAATACATTTATAATTCATGGTGAATAATAACTCACAAATTCCGATTATTCCACTCTTAATTCTGAGTACCTGAAAATGTTAAAAGAATATGTTGGGCCTGGAATATGTCAAGCCTTGAGAGATCAGAGTTATATCTCTCCCCTGCATTTGAAATCTGGAAATCTTTTTTTTTTTGGGGGGGGGGGGGGGGCGGGGTAGGATTTAAATTGTAAAGAAACAACATTGTTCTACTGGCTTTTGTGTATGTCTAATCAAAGCTTCATGTCACTGAGAGATAATTCTGCAACACTGAGCAGCAAAAAATGTACTCTGTTGACACTGGGTATTAAGAACTCTGACATTCAGAAATCTGAAATTTATTTAAGAGGTATTTGCGGTTTTGCACTTTTTGCCTGACATTTTTGAAAAGAACCACAGTGGTAGAAGTAATGATGTGAATAATCATTACGCTTATTATTTCATACAACAAAGACTGAAAAATCAAGGAAGCTGATGTGGAAAAGCATATGAAACTTAAGTAACTGTCTGCTGCAGAATCATGCTTTTGTTTTAGTTTAGAAGATTTGTAGAGTTTAAACCAAGAGTTGTATTTGGCCTGTTCTATCCAAATGCCTCTACATTTTCCCCAAAATACAAGGTTCACCCATTTACTACCCTAATTTTTAGCTCTGTCAACTTGTTCCTATTGAGTCTAGGATTAAAAATCTTCTTTGTGTTTCTGTTAACCAATTCTGTTTTCTCCTCAGTTTTCAAATGGGGGAAGCAAGCCCCAGTGATAGGTCATCTGGGTTGGTTGCTTTCCACTGTGTCTCTTCTAGGGGCCAGGCAAAACCCTCCTACATGTGTAAGAGGTGTAGAATTTTGCTGTAATTCAGGGTTCAGTTAGATGTAAGAAATGTGTGGTGCATGTGTGTCTGCTGTTACCATCATTTCAGTGTGTTAAAAATTCAGAGTGTTAAAAATGTGTTAAAATTTTTTGAAACATACTGGGTGTTAATGATGCAATATTTGGATTGTTAGCAGATTTTTTTGAGTAGAGATGGTTATGTGATGTTGAGGTGAGGATTATTATTGGCATATACATGAACTAGACTTTAAGCTGTAAGAGAAATTTCTGTCTAAAGAATGTGTCTTACATTAACGTGTGTTGTGGCTTAAGCCCAGGCGGCAGCTAAGCACCATGCAACAGCTCGCTCACTCCTCCCACAGGGGGATGGGGAAGAGAATTGAAAGTAAAAGCGAGAAAACTTGAGGGTTGAGATAAAGACAATTTAATAAGTAAAGCAAAAGACGTGCACACAAGCAAAGCAAAACAAGGAATTCATTCACCACTTCCCATTGCCAGGCAGGTGTTCAGCCATCTCCAGGAAAGCAGGGCTCCCATCAGCATAACAGTTGCTTGGGAAGACAAACGCCATCACACCGAACGTCCCCCCCCTTGTCCTTCTTCCCCCAGCTTTATATGCTGAGCATGGCGTCATATGGTCTGGAATATCCCTTTGGTCAGTTGAGGTCAGCTGTCCTGGCTGTGTCCCCTCCCAACTTTTTGTGTACCCCCAGCCTATTCATTGGTGGGGCAGTGTGAGGAGCAGAAAAGGCCTTGGCTCTGTGTAAGCACTGCTCAGCGATAACAAAAACATCCCTGTGTTATCAGCACTGTTTCCAGCACAAATCCAAAACATAGCTCCATACCAGCTACTGTGAAGAAAAGTAACTCTATCCCAGACAAAACCAGCACAACATGAAACAGTTTGTTTCTACCATTATTAAGGTTCAATAAGGCAAAAAGCATCAGTGAACGAGATTAATTTCAGAATTATTGCATAACATGGGAAAAGAAAATGATGCTGTTGTTTGTGGGATGTTTTTGTATTTTTTTTCTCCTCCGCAGAATATGACTTTGACTAAATGATACTGCTGTTGTGTTTCTTCATGCTGGCAGTGTTTCCTTCCTGATTAGCACATGATTAATACCTTATATATTCGCTGATGGTGCTTTAAGTTGATAAAATTGAAAAGAAAGTGCATGACTGTAGCTGAAAATGTTTTTTCTTAGTTTTGTTTTTATATAACTAGTTCTCTCTTATTTTTTCCCAGGAGTGGCAGAACTCTATACAAAAGAATGCTGGCCTTGCCTTTATTGAGCTTGTCAATGAAGGAAGGTAAGTCACAATATTTGATAGCACCTCTGCCTTAGCCTTCAAGAAGTTGTATGGCTTGAAACTTTCTTTAAAGAATTTTTCTTCTGCCTTTTTATGTCATTGTCTTTGAATTTTACAAGCATGATTTCACATACTCTAATACTTTGGCTCAGTTCTAATACTGAATATGGGATTTTGCAGAATCTGAATGCTCTTTAGTTTCATTTAACATTTTGCTTATCGGCGTGTCATGGATTTTCTTTCTTCCCCTCCTTGTGCACTGGTTAACATTGAAACTATAATTTGTATTCAGCTAATCTCCTGAGGAAGGGAATTGATATTTGGAAGACCTTATAGCTAGGAATTGTAAGATAAGCCTCTGTCTCAAAAATTAGATTCCAGTTTGCTCATTTATCTCCTATCTACCTCATAAAAAAGAAAGGAAGAGAGTCCCTTTAAGGAAAAAAAAAAAGTCATTAATATTACCAATTAGTCTAACGTTCTATCTCTAACTATATACATATATTACTGGAACTTACAGAAAATGACAGGGCAAGTGATGAGGCCATGCTCTTTGACTTGTAGTGACTATTCAAAACCATCAATATTTTCTTCATTAGGAATCCATTGTTGAGGCAGACTAAGAGCAATATTTACTTTTTCTAAAGGATTTTTTTTTAAGATGTCTTAATGAGTTAGCCAAGGACTATTATAAGAAATGCCATTTATCTAAACCTAAATTCTGTTATTGAGTAACTTGAGCTAGTAGGAATCCCAACTGAAAATAAATTTTACAGGATTAGGACAGCTACTGAATTAAAACGAAAATAATCTACCACATAAATTAAAATGCTACACAAATATCTTTTTATCAATGTAGGAATAGGGGAAAAGGGTCTTTGAGATTTTTCTTTTAAAATGTGTAGATAGTCTCAAGATACATAAAAATAATCACCATTTTAATGGTTGCATTTCAGTTTATGGTGAGGGAAACACCATTCTGAGGCAGAAAAAACATTTTGCTACTAGTCTTGATCCCAAGGGCCAAGGTAAAGTAACAAGGGTGTTCAGTTACAGTGTTAAGATCTAGCCTGTAGTTGTTTCCTATTATGTGAGGCTGACCTGTCTTGACCTTACTTATAAAGTGCCTGCTATAAATTTGGCCCTTGATTAATGTTTTATTAGCATAGATAACATAGAGATCCCACACACATGTAAACCACAGTGTGTAAGGTTCATCTGTGTAAGATGAGCATCATGAACAAATCAGTTGCTGAGACTGAGTGGTAAGTAGCAGTTACCTCGTAGTTATTCAGCTTGTCCAGGTCAAGCTTTCAGAGAGAATTCTATCAGTAAACTGTTTGGAATTGACTATTTTCTTTTAAAAACCTGCAGTGCCCATCACAGACAGATGGAATCACTCCCCCACCTCCATAAACAACATCAATAACTTATAGTCTAGCCTTAGCAGAGTGGTTGTCTCAGGGACAAATGGTCCCTTGAAGACTGAAAAGTGTGGTTTTGGTTAGCAGAAAATATCTAAGTAATTGTTACTTCATTTCATTTCTGACTTGTAGCAGAGTTGTTTTTTTAAAAAGTGCGAATATAACTTTCATTATGAGGAAGATGAGAGGGGATTAATTTCTTAAAAATAGCTCCTTTTATCTATCTCAATTTTTCTCCATTGCTGTTTATAGGAGCCTTTAAAGTTATTGCTGAATTGGTCATTGCGGTGTTTTGTGGCTTTTCAGCATTCACGAAAATGAAACTATTATCCCTTATATGACTTGAACTGTATTCCAGAACTACTCTTTTCTTCTCTTTATGCAGGTTGCACATTATTTTTCTTGCACATATACTAACACACTGAAACATTTCAGGCGTTGTATTTTATTGTATTTGTTATTGTTTTATGTATTTTTGCCATAACATGATAATTGTAACAACTCCAAAAGCTGACATCTTTTAATTAAAACTTAAAAATGAAAATAACTGAATGATACTCATTTAGACTTTAACTGCATAATGGTATAATAAAAGTTGAATTTTTAAATTGTTTCTATATTCAAGAAAAGAAGACAAGGTAGTTGTACAAAGGACAGAACTGATTTCAGCAAGTAAGGAAGGATGTCTGTGGGGTACCCTGACATGTGGAGTGTTAGAATAAATAAAATGAAATTAAGAACTGGAAGAACTGCCTAGAATTTGTGGAATCACAGAACTGCTATTGTCTGCTGCCTTGGTGAAAAAAGTCTTGGTCATCCTGTAACCATTGTAAACCAGGGTTTTATTCCCAATGTTTATTGCTAGTTTTCTGGAGTATTTGATACTAGAGGATATTCCAGTTTGAAATGTGTTCTGCTGTTTTTATTTATCAGGGAAGTAAGACAACTGAAAAATCTTTCTGGAAGAGAAAGAGGTTTAGAAGAAGAAGAGATCTAAATCTCTTCTTATGCTTGCTTTCAAATGTATTTTTTGCTTTTATGTGAAAGGTATGAATGTACCTCTCTCTCACACAGCAGTTGAAAGTTTTATGTTTAGGCTTGCCGTGTTTTGGCTAGGATTCCCTGGGCAGAAGTATGTGCAGAAAGTTTGCCTCTGGGACTCGTAAGAACTAGAGTGTGTGCGCTGCATTCAGAATGTGTTGGTCTGAATTTCATCATGTTCACAAGTAACTAATGTGTTACACACATAGTTGCTCTCAGCCTTTCCAGATATATCAGGTCCACTGCGCATGTATAGCAGAATTGATTTGTGTCTAGTGAAATTTTGAATCTTGAACTGAAAAAAATGTCTAAAGAGGAGACTAGTATGTGAAAATACAGAACCGTAAGCCTACCTAAAACTGAAATACACAACTGAAGTCTTTTGAGGGCCAGGTTACAAGCATGGAAAAAAAATCAAACCCAAAAATCTGTGTAGAAAACCAGGAAGGTACAGAATGTAAGTTAAAAGCTAACAGAGCAGGTATTGGAAAATAACCTCTTTCTGTGCATGCAAATAAATGTCAGTTTCAGTTCCTTGCTATACTGAGCATTAATCTGTTTTTAATAAAAATGAATAAGTATTGTTCACTATTATTGTAATGTCTGGGAACACTATTAATGCCTTTGAAACCTTGTTAAAAAGGTGCCTGTACCCACTGCTTCTCTATGTACTGAGCCATCTGTGCAGCAGAAGTATAGATTGTGAAACATTTTCCTTAGCCTGCTGAACTTCTGTCAGTCTAGATTTCAGTCTTTGTGCTTGCCTTTCACCTTTGGGTCCTCCCTTTAGGGAGAGTCTGTCTTGGAGCCTCAACCCGAGAGCTTACTGATGAGGGAATTTGTTCACCAGAACCATCCTTTAGGTGTGATTTGGTTCATGGTCATGGACAGTCCTCTCCTTTGAAGACTTCAAAGGTGTCCAGATGGATTCCTTTTTTCCCACCCTGAAACCAATTATGTTTTGTCCTTATGCAGGAGATGGTCAAGCTATTATTTCTGAACCAAAAAAATAGAAGCTTTGTTCCTTGCATGTACAAATATGTCTTTTTTTTTTTTTTTGGCTCTTATTTCCTCTACTTGACTAGTTAGCAAACAATTCCTTTGCTCTGTGAAGGTTAAAACTCTCTCCTGTCGCTTTGATTCATTAGCACACTTTAGTGTGAAACATCTCTTGTGCTAGACCTTGTTTTCTGTATCAGTCAGTGCACTAACAAACGTACTCGAGCTTGAGACTAGGCATGACAGTTATTATCCCCTTTGGGGTGATAATGGGTTTGGCATGGCAGGGGTTGAGGGATCAGTCTCCTAAGCATGCTGCAGCAATTATTCTTTCCAACTTTCGGTTGAAGAGGCTCTTGAAGATGCTTAATTTTAATTTTCTCAAGCATAGTTTCCTTGGTCATCCAAAGAATTAAGTGCTGTGTTCTATACATATATTTTTATACATCTGTAAATATGCAGACAGTGGTTGCTTTAAAAAACTGTCACATGAAGTTTGGTTGAAAGATAACCTCATTAAACCAGCAGAATACATGTACAATTTCCTCTCCTTTGCCTTTGCCCTTTCAAATCCTTAACCAAAACAAGCAACCCAAAACTTAAGGATTCACAAGTGTATCCAGGAGAAGCAGAACTAAGGAAGTTTGGTTTTCTGTAGCTTTTTCTTATTTCTAGATTCTCTGTTGTCTAATGAGGAATGAAATCCAATCAAAATTCTCCTGCCATAGCAGAGGATTCTACTCCTATATTCCTATATTGTATTTTCTATTATGGCTTTCAGTGCAGTTGAAAACAGCCTTTTTTTTTTTTTTTTTTAAAGGATGTTTGCAAGGGTTTTTGTCCTCTGTTGGATAAAAAAACTTGTATAAAATTAATATTTTTGAGAAACTCTAACCTTCTATTAAAAAAAACCCTGTTGGATTTATCCAGTGAATTTAAAAGTCACTGGGAGAAGGAGGAAGGCAGACAGCATGCAAATCTAATATCCTTGGCAAGTAAAAATTCCACTGTCCAACCGAAAAAAGCCCCAAACCTTTCCAGAAATAACTGGATGTAACTGGTATTATTCTCCCAATACATAACATCCCGTAGTATAAAATCTGGAATGCTGTAATCATCTGCATTTCCATAGCTTTTTTTTTTCTTTTTTTTAGAAGGAACTGTACTAAGAAAATTTCAACATATGTCACCTGCTGTTCCTTTTCTTAAGTTGTATATATTACTTTTGACTGGTCATAGATGCATGACCATGCAAATATCTTTTTAATATTGAAATAGCTGGCAATCAAACTAGTTGGCCAATTACTTGCACACTTTCCTAACAGAAAATAGGGGACAGATGTAGGCTGCCCCATTCAATTGTCTTTCACTTGCAATAGTGTGGTCACTCTCAAGGAATGAATGTTAGAGAATGTGTTGCCATAGGAGCAACTACTGTGATGGAAAATAGTTAGAAAAATACAGCTATTAATGAAAAAATGGATGATAACTGGCAGACTTATGCTTTGTGCATAATTGACCAAAAAAGGCACAGGA